AAAAAAAAAAAAAAAAAAAAAAAGGAGATGGATGCACCTCTTGTTTGTTGCTGGGTTGGGGTCTAGAAGCACCCTCCATCTCTCTTGTTGATTTTTGGATTCGGATGATCGTCCACTTTCAGTCCCGGTTGATTGGTACACAAACCGCGTATTCAGGGATCGAGACGGATCTTCTCTTTTTCTTCTTCTTCTTTCTTCTTTCTTTTTTTTCTTTGGGGGGGAGGGGAGGGACCAGCTCTACCCCTCCGAGGTCATATTGCAGTAGCGAACGTCCGAAATGATTTTTCGTTTAGTTCGAATGGCGTCCAGGGTTTTATGACACAGACGCCATGATCTTGTGGCGAGAGGTGGTGGTGGTGGGGAGGGATGTGGGGAATCGTGTTCTGTGCAGCCTGGATTCAACAACCTGCTTTCAAGTTTTGAACTTATAGGCCCTGGTTGGGGAAAGTGGGGTTAAGGGAAGGCCCTGGTTGGGGAACTATGGGGTTAAGGGAAGGCCCTGGTTGGGGAACTATGGGGTTAAGGGGAGGCCCTGGTTGGGGAAAGTGGGGTTAAGGGAGGCCCTGGTTGAGGAACTAGGGGGTTAAGGGGAGGCACTGGTTGCGGAAAGTGGGGGTTAAGGGGAGGCCCCCTTTGCCACGTCGTTTCCTTCTTTCCACTTGCGAACACTTCTTGGAGAAGCTCTCCTGTCCGGCCTTGACCGATGCTATGCGGGGACCACCGCTAAATTATGTGCAACCCTATGTTCTATGCAAGAAATGACAGCCCTTTTTTTTTAGCCGGGCCCTCTCAAGTCCTGTGTCTTTGCCGTGCTCTCCTCTCTTCTCTTCTGTCCACAGGTGTGTGTTGGATCTTTTCGGACTCCTCTTCTCTCGACCCAGGATTGGAGTCCATTGGCGACCGAGTGTGACCTGGCTCGCTTGTTCCCATGGATTGCAGAAGACCGGCTGCGCAAGCACCTCCACTTTTTTTTTTTCTTCTTCTTTTTTTATTGTTGTTGTCAAATTCCAAGCACCTCCTGTCTATTCCTCAGTTTGTGTGTCTTCTGAGGCACGGTCGTCTGGCGCCAGTCCAGCAGGAAACATTGATGCCCCCAATTAGGAAGGGGTTTAGGGGGTTAAGGTTAGGTGGCATTGTTTTTTCCCTTGGCGGCAGCTTTCTCATTTTTTTCCTACTTGTTTTGATCGCCCAGCCCCTTCACGAAGTAGGGGTTGGTTCTTTCAACTTCTTTGAACATTGAACCTGGTCCTCTGACCGTGTCCGCCGGAAAGGTCCCCTCGGCGTGTTATCAGGGGTCTTAGCAGGGGTTGGGGTTTGGTTGTTTTTTTCTGGCACTTTCTACGGGGCGGGGCCGCGGGGGGTCCATACTTTTTTAAGGGAGGTGCCGCTTGTTCGGTCGTTTAAACCACCAGTACTTGGCCCAGCTATTGGCCGCGGAAAAGAAATAGAGTAGAAACGTTTCTAGTCGGATGAATTTGGGCCACTCCTGTAGTGGCTCGTACGTCTCCTGAAATTGTGGCTTGTTAACGGGCACAACTTTAGGAAGTACTCTACGTTTAACCACCCCCTTTAGTCGAAGGGGGGCCACAACTTCCCGAGTAGGATCTCTGAGACCAAAACCACCTACCTCTTGGGCTTCCTGGTAATGTGGTCTAGTTTTCAGGGGCACCTTTGCAATGCAGGATTATTCTTTGCTCGAGTCTCCAGTCGATAAGAAACAGCGTGCTTTTGAGCAATGACGATCTTTCTTCACCCGAATGGAGACTGAAAGTGCGGTCATTCTTGCGGTATATAGACTGAAAGGAGGCCCAAAACATACAGCGAGGCGCAAAAAGTACAGTGACAATGACCGCATGCTCTCTTCGGGGAAACGCGGTATTTCCTTCAAGGACGGGTCGCGACCGCACCGTAGGGATGCGGGGTGCCACAAGGCGGAGAAGACGCGCATATTTGTGGATGGGAGGATGGCAGCCTCTGTAAGGAGGGTTGAGATTCTCTACAGTGGTCCACTCTACTTATGGCCTTTTGTTGTCAAGAGGTTTTGCACCCCATAGCTGGGCAGACCCCCCCTCCTTATTTACCCTGATTTGGCAGATGGGGGAGCACAGGCAGGGGGTCTCATTGTTGCAACAACGTGTGGATATTAAGTAAGGAAGCAGGTTTCAGAGAGAGTCCTGTTGACTTGTACCCTCCCCGCGGCGCTCTCTGCTGTCGAGGACCCGACCCTGCTCCTAGAAGTACAGGCTGAAAGTACGGTCATTCTCGGTGTATCTGGACCGAAAGGAGGCCAAGTTCCTGAAAGACTCTTCCTACTCCCATGTGGTTCATGGATTGCTGTAGGATTTCCTACACCCATAGTGGAGGTAGGCTGTCTCAAAATTGAAAAACAAGACTGCAGCTTGCATCGTTTTTTTTTTTTGTTTTTTTTTTTCCTGCTATTCTTTTGGCTGCAACTTGTTTAGTGTCGTCTCGTCGTCCAGGTCTTTCGCTTGTTCTCTGTTCATTTTTTGTTTTGTTTCGCTTTTTCGAAGTGTTTCTTAAACTTTCTCTCTTGTCTTTCTTGTTCCGGCGCTCGCTTTCCTGTGTGCCTCTCAGGTGTAAGGCGTGCCACGTTGTAGTTCAGCGCGAGGCGCCCACACGCGCCACAACCCCATCTGCCGTAACCGCACACTTTTTTGAAGGCTGTGAAAAAGAGACACAGTAGAGAGAGAGAGAGAGAGAGAGAGAGAGAGAGAGAGAGAGAGAGAGAGAGAGAGAGAGAGAGAGAGAGAGAGAGAGAGAGAGGGGGGGGGG